ATCGATGAAACTCAAACCAAACTCGCCCATTCTTTTGAAAAAGGGACGCGAGAAGTGGATTGAAGCAATGATAGAAGGATGTGTTGGGAACTCGGTTCCCTCAAGTCGGCTAAGCAGCCTTTTACGGAAGTCAGTCAATGAGATCCTTGATCTCGAATCTCGGCAATTACCTCGGCTTGAACTTTACCAGGTCGGGAAACGCAGCGGAAAACAAAAAACACAAAACAGAAGAGAGAGAGAGAGAGAGAGAGAGAGAGAGAGAGAGAGAGAAGGAGAACACAAGCAGATTTTAACGTGGAAAAACTTTCTCCAATGAAGAAGTAAAAAACCCACGGGACCTAGTCCAAATAAAACATCCACTATGAAAATAATGGATACAAAGAATCAAAATACACCAATGTGGTGGTTAACACAACCTCTCCAACAATGGTGATAATCAAACTACCCTAGAGATGTTTCACTCAAACTCTCTCTAGAGATCTCTCAAATACAAAGCTTAAAGATTTGCTCACAAATTTCTCAAATAATTTTTCTCTCTAACCTAGCCTCCACCCACAACTAATGAATATATAGAGGAGGTGAGATCTAGGGTTTAGGGTTTTTAGGAAACCCCTTAATGGGCTTGGGCTTAGCATTGAAGGAGGAATCCCAACAAATCCCTCCCTCCGACTTCAATGCGTCGGCTTCAGCATCAACCCGGCTCTTTCACAGCAGTCTTCAAATTTTCTTGTTGGAACCGGCTTTGTCATCATGTCGGACCAATTTTGGTCAGTGTGTGTAAAATCCCGGGCGTTGACGAGGGCAGGGAGTGATCGTCGATGCGAAATGGCATGGACAATGAGCGGCTCCTGTCAGGCTTCTAGCGACAGGGACACATGAATGAATCGAATCAACACCCGAAAGAAAGGGATTTCAGAGACTGTGCTGGTATGAGACGGTACAATTGAGAATAGCTTATAAGAATTAATTAGTACTACCTATACTAACAAGATGCATCTACTTTTCGGTAGCCCGGAACAGAAGAACTCCATAGTTAAGCGTGCTTGACTTGGGAAAATTCTGGGATGGGTGACCTCCCGGGAAGTTTTCACGGGAAGTGTGCGAGTGAGAACAAAGCATGCTGAAAAGTCTCGTGTTAGTGTGTGGGGACAGTCGTTGATCCTCTCAAGTTGCCAGGCGTTACAAGTGGTATCAGAGCAGGGCCTCTCTTCCAGTACGGTGTGGTTCGAGGACGAACCAGGCGGAAGCTGGTGGACATATACACATCCCGGGAGCTGACGAGGGCAGAGAGTGATCGCCGGTGCGAAAAGGCATGGACAAAGAGCGGCTCCTGGAAGGCTTCCAGCGACGGGGGTACATGAATGAATCGAATTAATACCCGAAAGAGAGGGATTCCAGAGACTGTGCTGGTATAGGACGGTACAGTTGGGAATAACTTATAAGAATTAATTGGTACTACCTATACTAACAAGATGCATCTACTTTTCGGTAGCCCGGAACGGAAGAACTCCATAGTTAAGCATGCTTGACTTGGGACAATTCTGGGATGGGTGACCTCCTAGGAAGTTTTCCCAGGAAGTGTGCGAGTGAGGACAAAGCATGCTAAAAAGTCTCGTGTTAGTGTGTAGGGACAGTCGTTGATCTTTGCAAGTTGCCAGGCGTTACAGTGTGCACTTTAACGAGTTCGAGCTCTCCATCTTCCACCACATCCCGTATCCAGTGATACCTCACATCAATGTGCTTAGTGCGAGAGTGGTAGGTCGAATTCTTCGCAAGATGGATTGCGCTTTGATTGTGCAACCCAGCTCGTACTTGTCTTGATCATGGCCGAGTTCCATGAGGAACTTCTTCATCCACAACATCTGTTTGCTTGCCTCAGTAGCGGCAATGTACTCAGCCTTAGTTGTCAATAGTGCAACACATTTCTGAAGTCTTGATTGCCAAGAGACAGCTCCTCCGGCAAATCTCATCGTGTATCCCGTCGTCGACTTCCTCGAGTCAGAATCTCCCATAAATCAGAATTCGAGTAGCCTTGCAACTCGGCTTTGCCTTCTCCAAATCGGAGACATAAGTTGGTCGTACCTCGGAGGTACTTGAAGATCCACTTCACTGCTTCCCAGTGCTCTTTGTCGGGGTTTGACAAATACCGGTTTACCATTCCAACAACATACGCCAAGTCGGGTCTAGTGCAAACCATTGCGTACATGAAGCTTCTGACGGCGGATTGGTACGGGATCTTCAGCATCTCATCTTTGTCTTCATTAGATTTCGGACATTGCTTCTGGTTCAGCTTTATGTGTCCGGCTATAGGGTGCTCACTGTTTTGGCTTTGTCCATGCTGAATCTCTTCGAAATCTTCTCAATATACTTCTCTTGACTCAGCTACAGTAGTTTCTTTTGTCTATCTTGGATAATCTTGATTCCGAGTATCTGCTTTGCAGGGTCGAGGTCCTTCATTGCGAAGGACGAGCTCAACGCCTTCTTCAGGGCGACTATCCTCGATTTTTCTTTCCCTACAATAAGCATGTCGTCAACATATAACAACAAAATCAAAAAATCTCCAGCATCATACCTCTTCACAAATACGCAGTGGTCAGCTTCCGTCTTCTCAAACTTATGATCAGTCATGAATGGTTTAAGCTTCTTGTACCACTACCGAGGTGCTTGCTTCAAGTCATAAAGGCTCTTCTTCAACTGAAATACCAAGTCTTCTTGGTCTGGAACTCGGAACCCCTCAGGTTGCTCCATATATAACTCTTCTTCTAAATCACCATGAAGAAATTCCGTCTTCACGTCCATTTGTTCTACCTCGAGGTCCATCGAAGCCGCCATGGCTAACACGGTTCGGACCGAGGTCATTTTCACCATAGGAGAAAAGATCTCCTCAAAGTCTACTCCTTTCTTCTGATTGCAGCCTTTCACTACAATCCGGGCTTTGTATCTCGGCTTCTTCCCGTTCTCTTCATTCTTAATCTTGTAGACCCATTTGTTTTTCAGAGCTCGTATCTCTTTCGGCAACTTGATCAGCTCATAAGTCTAATTCTCGTGCAAAGACTTCATCTCGTCTTGCATTGCCTTTTCCCATTCTTCTTTCTCTGAGCTCGTCACAACCTCAGCATAACTCTGAGGCTCACCGTCTTCAACAACGTGTATTCATTAGATGGTATCTTGTAAAGGGTCTTCTTTCACGAAATGGATATCTCGGTTGTTCTTCAGCTTGAGAACCCGGTTCATCATTCTCATCCCGAATCTCATCATCATCTTGGACCTTAGTATCCTGGTCATTATCAGCTTGTTGCTTGTCATCATTTTCTTTATTTTCTTGATTTTCTCCCCCTGCTTCAGCTCGGACAAGAGGGGTAGATTCTTCACGTCTGACAGTAACCCGAAATTTGGGCTTCGAGATGTCATGAATGTTCTCATCTTCATGAAAGATCACATCTCGGCTTCTCACGATCTTCTTATTGATTAGATCCCAGTCGGAACCCGAACTCACATCTCGGCGAACCAAGATAGATGCATTCTTTTGTCTTCGCATCAAGTTTAGCCCTTTCATCTTTAGGGATATGCACGAAAGCTCGGCATCCAAACACCTTCAATTGATTATAGGTCGCTTTCCGACCTGTCCAAACTTCTTCTGAATGATTTCGGCAATCCGACATTGGATAGCATACTTCAGACCTTCTCTTCAATAGTCCTGTTCATCCTTTCAGCAAGTCCATTCAACTATGGAGTCTTGGGGGCGTCTTTTCAAGTAGGATCCTGGCTGCTCTGCAATATGCATCAAAAGGGTCGCAATACTCACCACCATTGTACCTTCAATTTCTTGCCAGTCTCCCTTTCAACCATTGCATGAACTCCTTAAAGGATTGGAGTACCTAGTCTTTAGACTTCAACAAATAAACCCACACTTTCTGGGAGTGGTCATCAATGAATGAAACAAAGTACTGAGCTCCTCCAAGAGATCTCTCTGACATGGAGTATACATCAGTATGGACGAGATCAAGAATATACCTGCGTCTTCTGGGTTGATCTGGTCTCACAAAAGAAATACGGTGCTGCTTTCCAGCTAGGCAGTGCGTGCAACTCTCCAACGCTTGGCCTTTCAACCCGGTCAGTAATCCTTTCTTGTGCAGGATTTAGAGCCCTTTCAGGCTCATGTGGCCGAGGCGCTTCTGCCATAGCTCCAAGCTAGGTCCATCTCGGACAGAATTGGCTTTTCCGCCATTGATCTTTCCTTGCATCACGTACAAGGAGTCTTCCTTCTTACCTCGGGCAATAACCAAGTTTCCTTTGGTCAGCTTCCATCTAACACTACCGAAGTAGTTCACTAACCCGACATCGTCAAACTTGCCTATCGAGATTAGGTTCAATCGCATGTCAGAAACATGCCTTACATCTTTCAACACAAGTCGACACCTAACATATGTGGTCAGGGTCACATCACCCAATATCAATGATGTCAGTTGCTTACAAATCAGAGTTGTTGATCTTTTTTGATCTAACGACTATCAAATGAGGTATCAAATTTCACCGGTGTTAAAAGATCATTTTCATATATATAGGGATAAATAAGAGTTATGTTGTAAGAAAAATAATTTGGTTATACTAAGACATGACAAAATATAATCATTAAATAAAGTGTATCATCCAATTTTTTTATTATTATTATTTTTTGTTGCATGATAGAAATTTCTTTCAAGTAACATTATAAAATAAAGACCCGTATATATATCCGAGTCGTGCAGGTTAAACGAGTGAGTAAACACTGCCACCGATCGGGCTTTTATAATAGGGTTTTATTAATCTCCTTTCACATGAGATAGGTATCTTACGTGGTAGAAAGAAAATGGGTGGGTCTCACCATTACAAGAAAAAAGAAAAAGAAAAAAAAAAGTGGGGTGCGAAAATCGAAGTGAGAGAAAATGAAATAAGTTACCTCCCGTAGAAGTGAGTAATATTTCCATTTATAATATTGAAACATATCTGAACAAGACGAAATTGATTGTTGAATCATATTTGGAAATATGAATAAGAAGTCTCTGGCGTTACTTGCCACAACCATTTCGACGAAGCTCCGCGTTCCACCTTCTCAATGGCGATTCTACTGTTCTCCACCCTTATCTTCCTCTCCTCCTTCCACCAATAAGCTCTTTGTTGGAGGTCTCTCTCTCTCTCTCTCTCTCTCTCTCTCTCTCTCTCTCTCTTCTCTTTTTCTTCTCCTGTTGTGTTCGATCTTCAGTGCTGACACTGCTGGTGTTTCAGGGTTGTCATGGTCAGTGGACGAAAAGTCCTTCAAAGACGCTTTCTCTTCGTTCGGAGATGTCACTGAAGGTAATATGAGCTTGAATATTTTTCTGGGTCTTTGTCCTTTTATCCATTTTCATAGTTTTCATATATGCTTCTACGTGTTTGATGATTTGCCTCAATAAAGTGTTGTTAAGAAATTGGAAGTAATGAACGACTGACTGTGTAAAAATATCAAATTTAATAACCAGCTTAAGCTGGGGAGACTTAGATATCATTCTGTTTCTATCTCTGCTTGATGTTAACGGGACTTAGATATCATTCTATTTGAATCCGTGCTTGATGCTTATTCACCTTTCATCTCTTATACTTTTTATTGGTTTGATTAAATTTTGCCATTTGTTTATTCTCACCTCAGTTTTTGGCCGGTCTTTTTTTTTTTTTTTCTCTCTCTCACAAATTTAACGTATAGTCATGTAATTCACACTAATTGTGTGTTTGCATTCACCAATGTAAATGTGACAATAAGTTTATTATTTGTGCCTCGTCCACCGAAAGCAACTGACACCAAATTACGGCACCTATTTGATTAAACTAAATGGATATGGATATACATCCAGCTCTAACATGGTGACACTGGCACCAAAATTCATATGTATGCCTGCTTAATATGTTGTAAATCCCTTTGCTTTGATGGTAGTATTTGAAATCTACAAGAAGGTAGACCCTACACTTTATGTGAATGTAAAAGGCACAGGGCAAATCTGAGTGCAAACGGACTCCCTAACTTTGCTAGCGAAAAGGTGAGGGTTGATTATCCGTAGTCTTACCCTTGTATTTTTGCAAATAGATTCTTTTTTAGACTCTAACCTATAACCTTCCGGTCACAAAGGAGCAACCTAAGGCTCGCTCTCACTTTATGAGAATCTAGTTGTAGAAATTTGATCTTATCAAAAAAATAAGTGGAAATTCTTCCGAAAATGAGTAAACTAGAAAGTTATTATAGTTTGAGTGAATTATGAACTAACATCTGATGGAATTAGAAAGAAAGAAAGCTAAATACCTTCTTGAAGGGGATTAGTTTGGTACTATGTTTAATGTACAGCTTTGATAGCTTAGCTGAAGGATGTTCTCTTAATACAAATTGTGAAGTTCTGCTATCTCATGCATGAATGGCGGGTGGTATTAATACCTAAGCTTAACTATGAATATTTGAATGGAGTTAAGGATTCAGAAGGGTAGGACTTAAAAGGCTAAGAAAGTAGAAAACGGAGAGGATGTACGCAGCAAAAGGGTATTTAACGAAAATAATGAATAAGACTACTGTAGGGTTTGTGATTGGCATGACCGACTATGAACTGGATCTGGTGAATCTTTAATGTGTAGATTGAGATCCTCAACTGTTATTTGTCTAGTTGGATTAGGATTCTAAATGTGTGCACTTCATATTCTAGATTAAATTTAACAAATTATATGCAAGGAATTTAAGGAATAGCAACAAAACTTTAGGTGTTGCTACAGCTATGATGTGTCTGAATTTTGTACTCATTTATGCTTGGGACACTGGTAATGAAAAAACATCAATCCCGTCCAGTATTGTTTGAACCATACTCATCTGGCAATTCAACGGTGGAAGTCTTTTAACTCTTGCTCTGGTTGGGCATTGCGTATGGTCTATAAAAATGTTGAGAGCTTGTAGTTGCCATTTAGTTATTTTGGAAACACCTTTAGGACACCATCTGACCTGTTCCTTTCATTGATTCACATTCATTCCTTGTACAATATAATTATTTTTTATTCTGTTATTGTGTCAATCATATGTTCTTAATTAGTGGAGTCCTTTTCTTGTAGTTAGGATAGTGTATGATAAAGACAGTGGCAGATCTAGAGGCTTTGGATTTGTCGTCTTTACAAATGAAGATGATGCCAAATGTGCAAAGGATGCAATGGATGGAAAAGTAAGACGTCAAGAATATCTTATTATCATTACCTATTGAGGTTCTCTCTGATGGTGATTTCTTTGCAGGCACTGTTAGGTAGACCATTGAGGATAAATTTTGCTCTTGAAAAGGCCCGTGGTGCACCTGTTGTAGTTCCTCGACTTTCAGATGTTGGACATTTAAACAGGCACTGAACTAAATTCTTGTGACAGTGAATCATATATTACACATTAGCTGATAGTTACAAAACTTGAATTGGTTGTCATATACAATCAGGAGAGAATGACATTTACTAGCAGCTGAAGAAGGTTGCTCAATCGATTTTTAAAATCTGCATTGAAGCAGTCCTGTAGTCAGGTCATCATTGTATTGTTCATTGAGAAAGTTTCTGCAATACGATAGATCATGTTTGATGCTTTGATGTTCTGTTGGGGTATCAGTCTTTAACACAGGATTTCTATTTTCTTCTGTAATATCCCATGTTGATTCCAGTATTTTACAAATATAGTGTTCCAACGTTAAAATATAAAGATTTCGAATTTTTTTTCTAGATGTAAATGAAATGCACGATAAAGACATAAAATAACAACAATAATAATAATCCTAGGCATATAATTAAGGGAAATACTACTCTCATTTTACATGAGGTAGTTATCTCCTTTTCTCTTATTTCGAAAATCGTGCCCCTTCTTTTTTCTTTTTCTTTTTTGCTTTTAAATAGCGGGTCCTACTTGAATTCTCTCTTGTAACATGAGAGAACTACTCTCATGTTACATGAGAGTAATATTACCCTATAATTAATAATCGAGCATGGATATACCTTATGTAGCACTGATACGACACGCGACACGTGACACGACACGACACTCCGACACGTCAATTCTAAAAAATTGCGGATTTCGACACGTTGGGACACGTTTTAATATTAAATAATATTTTTAATTTATATAGTGTATATTTCATTTAATATTTAATAATTTAACAAAAAAATGAAACTAAATTAATAATACCCATCAACATGTTATAAAAATGGAAGCTTTAATAAAAATAAAATAAGAAATGGGACGAGAAAGAGATATAATATCAGATAGAAAGATCAAATCATATGAGAGAGATATCAGAGAGAAGGAGACACAACAAGAGCGTGATAAGAGTTGACAACAATGATACTGAGATGATCTCTTATCTACTTAAGGGGGGAAAAAGACAAAAAAATAAAATTGATATGATCAGGTGGAAGCTTTATTAATATATTTTAATTTTTTAAAAAATTATAAAAAATTACGAAAATGCCATTTGACCGTGTCGGACACGGTCAAATTCGCGTGTCGGAATGGTCAACGTGTCGGAAAAAGTTGACCGCGTGTCCGACACCGTGTCGGAGCGTGTCGCCGTGTCGGAGCGTGTCAGACACGACTCTCCCTGTTTTTACAAGTGTCCGTGCTTCCTTGGATATACCCAAAGGTGGTTCTTGAAAATGATATACAAGTTAAAGGCTAGCCCTTAAACCACTTACTAAAAATTCTATGAACTAATTTTTTTTAAAGATTGGTAAGATCACTTTATGTAATGCCGCACCCTAAGGACTACGAACTTGGGTTAAGGTATATATTTTCATTAGATAGTTCATCCAAAAATTTATCCCACTAAAACATGGAACATTATGGTGAGTAAATCAAAGTACGTACTCGAGTAAGAATCCTGCATTTACTCAAGTAAATGGCTGAGATGAAGCTAATTTATGGACCAAGACACCTTTCATCACTCATGGCATTTCAAATTCTTATTTCAACATTGCTAACTCCCACTCATACTATATTTATTATTTATCTCATATACTATATTTCTATGTATGCACCCATGACCTAAGACTTGAAAGAAAGAAATTATGATAATCATCTGTAACTTACTCAGAATTCAATATATAAGTTATAGGGAAAAGTGTTTGTCCTTTTAAATGACACAACTTATATCATTTCACTCTCACAAAGAGGTGAGACCACACCTTTATATTTTTTTGTTCACTCTCTCTCCTCCTTTATCTATCTCTTTCTCTCACTTAAAATGACACAACTTTACATCCTTTAAAATGATACACACTTATCCCTAAATTATATTAGGCATTCTACCCAAGGACTGAAAACAGCTTCACTAGTATTTCAGGCAAACCAACATCATATTTAAGCACGAGATCAGATCCATAGAATACATTATTCCATTTCTTCCCTTTAGCGAAATTTTCAAGGAAAAGCTTGTAAACATAGGGCTTTCGAGCCATTTACCAGGACTTAAAAGAGTTCACTCATGTTTTTAGGCTATGGTAAGAAAAGAAAAGGGATATCTGTCTTCGTTGGAAACATAAACTGTTAGAAACGCAAGGTTTTGGCTATAAAGTGCAATCTGTCCAATGACCTAAAACATGGCGATGTAGTGCTGTAGTGCACTAAACCTATAAAATCCATTATTACACTTTGGTCCCACGGGGGATATTGTTCCATTTCATACCTAAGCCAATTCATAGGGAAAAAGACATATCCGCATAAGGCTGTCCAAATTTGAAAGATTCTTTCTTATATGCAACATACATAATTTCATCAAATATCTTTCTTGATCTAGAGCTATTCCACGCGGGACTACAAGGCTCAACCAGTGAAAGGCCTGAGACCCAAAGACCATTGTATTATGGGGAAGGAAACACGGTCATCCCACGTATCTTGATGACCCTGCAACCTCCTGACAAATGGCACCAGCAACTGATAAAATTGCGGTCACACGATATTAGCTACTCAGCACTTTACCACCACACCCATAGCTAATGGCTAGAGGACAGACAAGAGCGTATAACTACGCCTACAAGACTTAGCTTGACATTACGCATCCTATACATGAGATAGCCTGTAAAGACTACCTCTGCCCACTAATGAGAATGAATATCGGCATACTAAGACAACATAACAATGATGCTCATCTACTACATATATAGAGAGACATTAAGCCCAAGTATGATCATCTTCCATCATTACTTGAACACTTTGAACTCTTACTGACTTAAGCATCAGAGTGCCTATAACGCCTCGTTGTACACCCATAAATGTTATCATTACTTATGATATTAAGCACAGTTACAATTACATTGATTAATTAAAACTACGGATAAACTTTTCACAAAAATATTGTTCATTTACTTTTTAAAACAAAACCGTACTTAATATAACCAAAACCGTAATTATAACCATGTAACATTTTCCAAACTGAGACCACTACACTTAACCATTAACTTTAACCTTTTCATTTTGATAAACCAGATGTCTAGGGCTTTCCGGAAAGATATTACAATAACTATTTGGTTAAGTATAGCCGGAGTTATTAAACTCGCAACGTAGCTAACAAAATCAAACTTTCAGAATTGAAGCATCAACTTCAATCCTAAACTGACATTGATATACTCATCCAATGGCTCTAATATTTTACAGAGTTATAGCTCTATGCGTTAGCTTCATATAGGTTCAAACATCACTCAATTTGGAGCTCTATAGCTCGAGTTATGCCAATTTTACTAACCTACGTTCGTTCTAAAAACGGGTTGCGCGCTTAAGCACGCTCTTCGAACCCTTTTTTCACATGATAGCACATTTCAGCACGCTCCAATGCGCTTGAGCACACACTGGCAGAGGAAATTGGTACTTTTAGGCCACCAAGAGCGCTTAAGCGCCCTAAGCGCACTTCGACAGATAAAAACATGTTCAATCTGCAAAATGACACATAACATGATGGAGCATTGGGTGAATTAGGTACATAATAAACTAGAATGACCAACAATGATCCATCACATATTATGGCACTCATATCCCACCATATTCATCAATTTATCATTCAATTCAAAATAAGAAAACATAGTTCACATTCAATCATTGTTACAATGAATCATTTACAACAATATTCTTTAAGATAATTATATGCCAAAGGACTTAGCTACAAAAGGGACATGATCAAAGCTATTAGCCATATACTACAAGGCATTCACTACCACAATGATCATGCACTAAGTCCTCCAAAATACATCATGTGGCCTCAAAATATACATATACATGTGACAATGTACATAACATATAGATCCACAATCCTAGATAAGATGCAATTCAAAATGACCGGCTATCAACATATGACTTCTAGTCCAAATTCGGCCATTTGTCACAAAGGCTCCTGCAACATCTGTATCTGAAAGGGGTCCCCACAAAACAAGGTGAGATATACAAATATACCTCAGTAAACTAGGGGTCCTTGGAGCATTTATCCACTCCATAGTTCACTCACAATATAATAGCAATAACAGTAAATAATGCAGTAAATACATATCCATGCAGTGTGTCAAACATCTCCAGGAGTCATCCTTCAAGCTCTCATGCTGTCCTAAGGATACTCAGAAGCAAATAGTCCTACTAGCCAGCTAAACTACAAAGTATGAATTACGCATCGTCATGCAACATCCAAAACATAGGGAAACACCATCCTATGCCACACCCAGTGCATACACATACGTATAACAAAGCATTAAACTACTTTATTGTATTTACATACACCATCAACAACAACTACCCAATCAGGGCTTGGTGGAACAATAAAGGGATCAATTCCCAAGGTCCGAGGGCTTACCTCAATGCTTCCAATCCAACCTTTGTTCACCAACAAGTTTGTAACCAATCAAACTTTGAATTCAAGCCACAATCTTACAAAATTTACACCAACACCTGGTTCACTCAAACAACCAAGTCAAGTTTCATTGCTTCCACCGGTTCTTGGTCAATCAAAGATGATTCACTTGCTTCAATCCTAGGATCATACAAGGAAGGGATTGCAAGCCTCCAAGCAAATCAAATCACTCTCAAAGCCCCTTAATCACAAGTGGGTCACCACTTTCATCACCCTTTTTCTCTCAATACAAGACTTTTTGGTAGATTATGGATTAGGAGTTGTGTTTGCCTCTCAACTCTAAGCATGATTGGTCCAAGAATCAAAAGATTTGGTTGAGAAATAAAGAAATTAGGTTTTTGGAGCTTTTGGCTATGGATTCTCGGTTCTCTCTATTTCCATGCGAAGGAGATGAGCAAATGGTAGAGTAATTCTTTGTTTTACACTTGACATAAGGTAGGAAACTTTCAGCCCGGTAAAAATTTATCTATCTAATGACTTTATATCACTTTCAAACTCTACCCATTGGTCTGGGGCATTTTTTCAGTCATATTTCTACTTTTACTTTTATATTTTGGGTACTTTTATCTACACACATTTCTCCCCATAATTTTCACTGACTGCACTTTTTACCTCAAAATTGACCTTAATTCATTTAATTATATATTTTACTTCTTTCAACCCACTAATACACGCTTAATTACTTAATTACATGTAATTTATTAAT